ATTTTGAAGCAAGGTCTCCCTGTAGCCCCATCTGGCCTGGAACTCACTATGTAGCCCAGGCTGGCCTGGAACTCACAGAGATCCATCTGCCTCTGCCTCCCAAGTGCTGGGACTACAGGCGTGCGCCACCACGCCCGGTGGGCTTACTTATTTTTAAAGACAGGTCAGGTACTCCATCTTCCGTTTCTTGGGTGCTGGGTTTACAGGTGTGTGTGCCACCATTGCTGATTATGAGATGCTGGGGATCAAGCTCAGGGCTTCGTGCATGCTAGGCAAGCACTTCACCAGATGAGCTACTTTCCCAGACCTGTTGATTTTCAGTGATTATGTTCCATGCCAGTCTCCTCTGATGTGAGCAGCTGACCTTCCCTTCTATCCAGCTCATTCCCATAACATACCTACAAGCCTTTCCTGACTGTGGAGGACATTATAAAACACCTACTTCTGTGCTACCCTGTCCCTGCCAGGACAGATTGGTGAGGAAGGAATTGTACTCTTGCACTTGTTTGGTGCCTCTTGCTTGTGTGTGCTTTTAGTTTATGGCTATGTTTGTGACCCCAGAATACACAGGATCTCATCCTTGAGGGAGGTTTAAATTTGTGACTCTGAGCCAGGCATGGTGGCACATACCTTTAATCCCAGTACTCTGGGCAGGTGAATCTCTGTGAGTTCAAGGCCGACCTTGTCTACATAGCAAGTTCAGGCCAGCTGGGGCTACAGGGAAACCCTGTCTCAAAAAGACCAAAAAAAAGGTTTGTGACTCATGAGGATCTCCATAGGGTCCTATTGCAGCCAGCTCAGTTCCCTGCTTTCCTGAGCTGGTAGAGTCCTGGACTTTTTTGAAGGCTGCAACATTATGAGGACCTGCTAAGGTTCACACAGCATATTCAGGCGTATTTTCCAGTGGGCTCAAAGGAGAAGGAAGCTCCCAAAATTAGCATCCTGTTGTTGCTCACTACTGAGGCAGAATTTCCTGGTTGTGCAGAAGATAAGCTTGAGTCTGGACTAAACCTGTGCCTTCTTTGAGAACAGAGGTACAGATCACTGCCTTACATTCTTTTTTTCTCTCTAGTTTGTCCTGAAGAATTATGGAGAGAATCCAGAAGCCTACAATGAGGAACTGAAAAAGCTGGAGTTGCTCAGACAGGTAGGAGAAGGTACTTTTATCTCAGCATGAACTGAATTGATTTGCTTGAGTGGTTAAAAAAATATCCTCTGGGTATGGTGGTGCACACCTTTAATCTAAGGAAGCAGAGGCAGGTGGATTTCTGTGAGTTCCAGGCCAGCTGGGGCTACAGGGAGACCCTGTCTCAAAAAGACCAAAAAAAATCTTCCCACTGTGGTCTTACTTGAATTTACCTTTTTTTTTTGTCTTTTTGAGACAGCACCTCCTTGTAGCCCCAGCTGGCCTGGAACTCACTATGTAGACCAGACTGGCCTTGAACTCACAAAAATCCTCCTGCCTCTGCCTTCCAAGTGCTGGGATTAAAGGTGTGCGCCACCATGCCCGGCATTGAATTTACTTTTTAAAAAAAAAAATTTTTTTTTTTAAATTTTATGTGTATGTGTGTATTACCTGCATGTAGGTAAGTACATCCATGTCGTGCAATGCCAGTGGTAGAGGACAGAAGAGGCTGTCAGATCCCCTGGAACTAGAGGTACGGACAGTTGTTAGCTGCCATGTGGGTGCTGGGATTCAAACTCGGGTCTTCTGCAAGAACAACCAGTGTTCTGAACAGCTGAGCCATCTCTCCAACCCCTGAATTTACTTATTTTTCCCTCTGCAAAAGCACCAAAATTGATGGCAGAAAACTGTGTGTGCACCTGGTTCTACTGTTGCTTGTCATCTTTGAGAGTCTGATGGGTAAAAGAGATTTTACTATATTTACTTAATTTTATCTTTTTTTTGACATAGGGTCTAATGTAGCTCAAGCTGGCCTTGATTTTGTGTTTCTCTTGCCTCAGCCTTGCAAGTTCTAGGGTTATAGGCATTGCTCTTTTACCTTGAAATCTTACTATGGAATGGGTCCAGGCAGTGCATGCCCTTTTTTTTTTTCTTTTTCTTTTTTTCCCAAAAGTAGCAAGACAACTTTATTTGGAATAAAGTGATAGTGCATTTTAAGATTGACATTGAGCCACATGAGTAAAGGTGCTCAAGGATATTGAGTATTATTTGGGGCTTCCTTTTTATGGGGTTCCAGAGAAAGAAGAGTATGGTTGTTAAAGGGCATAGTGAGGGTGGTTCTCTGTTTTGATTGACACATTAGTTCATAATGTTTTCTACATGTCCCTTGCTGTAATAGAACTGATTTTAATCATATGCATTCCCAATTATGCACAGATAGAAGATGGTAAGTAGGGGATTCTCTCTAAAGCAAACTTGAAAGATATATTTTACCTTACTGTACATGCATCCAAAATCAGTTCAGGCAGGATGGGCCTTTTGATTCTTTGTACTCAGGTATATTGGGGATTTTTTGAATAGAAATAGTCTAAATGTGGTTGTTACTAAGGACTGAGAAATGCAGTATTGTTCAGAGGCGTAGTCTGATGCAAATGGGATCTGAGCTTTTTTTTTTTTCTTTTTTTTTTTCTTCTTTTTTTTTTTTTTTTTTTTTGTCTCTTTTTGAGACAGGGTCTCCCTGTAGCCCCAGCTGTCCTGGAACTCACTATGTAGACCAGGCTGGCCTTGAACTCACAGAGATCCGCCTGCCTCTGCTTCCGAGTGCTGGGATTAAAGGTGTGCGCCACCACGCCTGGCTTGTATTTTTAATAATACATATTTTATTTGTATTTTTAACAATACAAATATTTTAATAATATTTTCCAATTTTACATAGAAATGTTTATGTGTCCAGTTCATTTCATATTTCTCTATAATATTTACCTTTGGTTTTTGCTCAGAAAACCTTCACCATGGGGGCTGGAGAGATGGTTCAGTGGTTCAGAGCATGTGTTGCTCTTGCAGAGGAGCTGGGTTGGGTTCCCAGCACCTACATGACAGCTAACAACCCTCTATAACTCCAATTCCAGTGGGATCCAGTGCCTTCTTCTGGCCTCTGTGGGCACTTGTACATGATGCACATAAACTCCCACAAATATTCTTTTTTTTATTGAGCTTTTTAAATTTCATACATTTACCACTGAAATCCAGACCCCCCCCCATCCATGCCTCCCGCTATCCCCACAAAAATATTCTTTAAAAAAAGAAAAAGAGTCTAGTTGCAGTGGCACATGCCTTTAATCTTAGTCCTTTTGAGGCAGAGGCAAGCTAGTTTCTGTGAGATAGAGGCCAGTCTTGTCTACATACTGAGTTCTAGCTGGGGCTACAGGGAGACCTTGTCTCAAAACAAAAACAATAAAATCTTTATCACTCAATATGGTGAAACCAGCAGTTGTCCTTCTAATATTTTGAAGGTTTTTTGTTTTGTTTGAGATATGGTCTTATTATGTCCCTGGTGGTCATGGAAGTTACAATGTAGTCCAAACTGGCCCTAAACTTGGCAGCAATCCATTCCTGTCTGCTTGCTCAAAGCTAGGATTACAGGTGTATGTCATCATACCTAGCTTATATTTGAAGATTTTTTTGCTGTGCTGGGGATTAAACCCAGGGTGTTGTGCATGCTAACTAAAGAAAGACTCTACTATGGAACTATATCCCCAGACCTTGCTTTTTGTTTCGTTTTGTTTTTTTTAATTATTTTTGTTTTATGTATATGAGTGTATTGCCTGCATGTATGTAAGTGCACCTGTGTTGTTCAGTACCCATGGAGGTCAGAACAGGGTGTAGGATCCCTTAGAACTAGAGTTAGAGATGGTTATTACCTGCCATGTGGGTGCTGGGATTCAAACCCCGGTCTTCTGTAAGAACAACCAGTGTTCCTAACTGCTGAGCCATCTCTCCAGCCCTGACATTTACATTTTTATTTTTACTTACGGTATGTCGTGTGGAGGTCAGAGGAAAACTTTGAAGAGTTGGTTCTCTTTCCATCATGGGTTCTAAGGATTGAACTCAGGTCATCAGGTTTGCATAGTAAATGCTTTTACCCACTGAGCTGTCTCGCCAGTGCTGTTTTAGGTAACCCTTATTTTACTTAATAATGACCCTAAAATGAGATACTAATGATGATGGCAATTAGATGTACCAAAGAGAAACTGAAGTGCTTTCTTTAAGTCAAGCATGATGAGGCACACCTATAATCCCAGCATTGAGGAGGCTGAGGCAGGTTTGCTGAATTCAGTTCTGGGCCACATAGTGAGCCCCTTTCTCAAGCCCTATCTCTGAAGCAAAAAGGCAAAACAAACCAAAGCTGCTGTGAACTGGGTCCTCTAACCATTTAGTTTCCTGAGGAATCACCGTATTAGTTTGCATAGTAGCTGTACTATCTTTTACACTTCTACTAGCAGTGGACAAGAGTCCTAATTTGTCTACATTTTCCCAGTGTTTTATTTCTTTTCAGACAGGGTTTCTTGTAGACCAGGCTGGCCTTGAACTTACTCTGTGGAAGATGACCTTGAACTCCTGATCTTCCTGCCTCTACCTTCTAAGTGCTGGGATTACAGACATGCACTAAAGCCCCTATAGTTCCAGCCGGCCTGGAACTCACTATGTAAACCAGGCTGGCCTCGAACTCACAGAAATCCACCTGCCTCTGCCTCCTGAGTGCTGGGATTAAAGGTGTTTACCACCACACCTGGTCTTTTTTTTTTTTTTTTTTTTTAAGTAGTACTAGTGCCAGGCATCTTGGAAGGCAGAGGCAGGTGGATCTCTGTGAGTTGGAGGCCAGCAGCCTGGTCTACATAGCAAGTTCCAGGCCAGCTAGGGCTACGGGGAGAACCTGTCTCAAAAAGACCAAAAAAAATAGGAGCTGGAGAGATGGCTCAGCGGTTAAGAGCACTGACTGCTCTTGCAGAGAACCCACATGGCAGCTACAAACTGTCCTTAACCTCCAGTTCCAGGGGAATCTGAAGACCTCTTCTGACCTCCACAGCATTGCATGACTCGGGTACATTCACATACATGCAGGCAAACACATACACATAAAATAAAAATAATAAATTATTTTTTAAAAAAGACAAATAGGCCAGGCGCGGTGGCACACGCCTTTAATCCCAGGACTTGGGAGGCAGAGGCAGGCAGATCTTTGTGAATTCAAGGCCAGCCTGGTCTACATAGTGAGTTCCAGGACAACTGGGGCTACAAGGAGAACCTGTCTCAAAAAGCCAAAAAAAAAAAAAAAAAGACAAAGCCAGGCGTGGTAGCTCACGCCTTTAATCCCAGCACTTGGGAAGCAGAGGCAGGAGGATCTCTGTGAGTTTAAGGCCAGTCTGGTCTACATAGTGAGCTCCAGGATAGCTGGGGCTACAGGGAGACCCTGTCTCAAAGAGACCAAAATAATTAAAAATAAATAAAATTAAAATAAAGTACTAATAGTCATGCTGATCTGTGTCAGATAGAGTGGAGCTTGTGCCAGGCATCCTGTTCTGCTGTCACACAAAGTGAGTGTTCTTGCTGACAGTTCCCCACATAGCTATAGCATTCCTCTAGCTGGTGCTGCCTAGCCTGCTTCTGGCCCCACAGCTGCTAGCATCCTAGTGAGGGTCTCTAGGCTTCTGCTGTGTGGGACAATGCAGGATTTGCAATGCTTCCAGCCCAAGTCTTGAGTGGACACCTGCTTCTTGGAAGTTACGTGATCTGCATTTTTGTTTGAACAGAGGGCTCATTGGCTTTGTTTCATACCTACCCCAAATGGAAAGTTTTGTTTTAATTACAAAATTGAAAGTGGTCAATATAAATAATATATAAGAATTTATGTCTGTATCAGACATACATATATATATACATATACATACATATATATATATATATCTTTTGTATGAATGCACTAAAAAGATAAAATAGCCTGGTGTGATGAAGCACGCCTTAATCTTAGCACTGGGGAGGCAGAGGCAAGCAGATCTCGGTGAGTCTGAGTCCAGCCTGGTTTACATAATGAGACCCTGTCTTTTAAAAAAAAAATGGGGGGCTGGAGAGATGGCTTAGTGGTTAAGAGCACTGACTGCTCTTGCAGAAGACCGGGGTTCAATTCCCAGCACCCACGTGGCGGCTACAAACTGTCCTTAATTCCAGTTCCAGGGGAATCCGAAGCCCTCTTCTGACTTCCGTGGCATTGCACGACACCGGTGCACTCACATACATGCAGGCAATATACTCATACACATTTAAAAAAAAAATTTTTTTTTAAAAAGGATAGGCGATAGCTCATTTAGTAAAGAGCCTGCCATGTAAGCATAAAGACCTGAGTTTGGATTCCCAGCATCCACATAAAAAGGGTGTGGTCATGCACATTTGTAGCCCTGGCTGATGGGTAGACACAGGCAGCTGTGGGGTCAGTGAGACCCTCTCTCAACAGATAGTGAAAGACACTTCATGTCAACCTCTGTTCTCCACCCACGCATGCATATACAAGCACATGCACCTGTATATATGTGCACATATATACACTATACACACACTTTAGTAATATTGCCCCAAGATAATCACTGCCAGTATTTTAAAATATTCTGGATTTTATTTTCTTTTTAGTCTATATACCTACCTGCATATCCTGAGATTTTACAGAAATGAGATCACACCATCTGCTACATTCCTTTTTTTTTTTTTTTTTGCCTAATAGTGTCATGGATATATTAATATATCCATAAACTCTTTTTTCTTTAGTGTTCATGGCTGCAGAATAGTGTCTTGTGTAAGTCACCTTACATAATTCATTTAAACAATCCTCTTTAATGGAGTCTAGGCCGTCCAGTTTTTGAATCTGATAATAATGCTGTGAGAATTTAGGTTTTTTTCCCTTAGACCCCCCGCCTCCTTGTTTTTTGAGACAGGGTCTCATATAGCTCAGGCTGACTTCATACTTCTTATGTGTGTTGGGATCACAGATGTGCACCACCATGCCTCTTACTGTACATTTTTAGGTACGGAACTGTGGGTCAAAAGTTAAATACATTAAAAAACTTAGAGCATATTGTAGACTGTCTTCTATAAATTTAGGGCTGACTTAGTCTACCAGTCTTGGTTGGAGGACAGTTTGTCCAGCAACTATACACATAGCTAGGGGCTTTCTTTGGATTCCCAGTAATGGCAGGTCTGTTTCTCCCATCCTACTCCCCAGAATGCTGTTCGTGTTGCTCGGGACTTTGAGGGATGCAGTGTTCTCCGCAAGTACCTTGGTCAGCTTCACTACCTTCAGAGTCGGGTGCCCATGAGCTCGGGCCAGGAGGCTGCTGTTACTGTCACCTGGTGAGAGCTGGTAGGAAGGACTGGGGAGTTGTGAGCCTGAAATGTGTCTGGCACAGCTGGGATGTCCGGGTGATAGGCATGATCCTTTCCCCATTCCTGTCTTCTTGCTGCACAGGATGGGGAGTGGGTTAGTGTGGTCTGCCCCAGGCCCCCATCCCATACTGGGGTGATTAGAACCCTTTGGTGACCTTCGGGCCCAGGCCAGCTTCTACTATCTAGATGACTGGGGTGATATGTCTGCAGGACTGAGATCTTCTCAGGCAAGTCTGTGGCCCATGAGGACATCAAGTATGAGCAAGCCTGTATTCTCTACAACCTTGGTAAGCTACTTGAACCTTCCCTGGGACCCTACCCCAAGCCTTGCCAGCCCCAGGTCTCAGTTCATCAGATGACCCACAGAGGCTGGGAGTGAATGAGAGGAACAAGATGTCTGTGTTCTGACTCCCCCACTGCCTCCACCTCAACTATTTGGGTACTTCTGCTGTTTTCTAGGGCCTTGGGAAGCCAGTGTACTGGAGAGTGGTTCTATTGGGCTGGCTGCCACAAATTTGCCACTGTGTGCTCTGATAGGGAGAGATGGCCTTTCTTTGCCTGAACAGCACCCCCACCCCTAATTGATGTCTTTGGGTTGCTTAAGGTGGGAGAACAAGCCTGGCCTCAGATTGCCCTTCCAGCAGCCTCAGGCTAGCTGAGGGAAAAGCATGGGGAGTTCCTCTCTCCTCATTCAGCCAGAACAGAACAGGAGATGGAAGAGCGTGGCTGGGCTTCTCATTGTTCTTCCTTGTGTCCTTGCACTGACTGCCCCAGCTTTCAGACCTGTTTTCCTGACTGGATGACAACAGTGCCATCTGTTTCAACCTTGACAGAGATGTGGGCAGCCCAGGGAGGCATCCCCAGGCTCCTCTAACATCATGTCCCCTGCCTCTCCAGGTGCACTGCACTCCATGCTGGGGGCTATGGACAAGCGGGTGTCTGAGGAGGTGAGGAAAGGGGCAGTGTGGGACATGTGGATGTGCCAGGGAGGGTGCTAGTGAACTGCGCTACCAGAGTTTGAATGATTCCTGCCCCTCTGGGAGTGAACACAGGCCATCTTCTTTCTCTTTCCTCTCAGGGCATGAAAGTGTCCTGCACCCACTTCCAGTGTGCAGCAGGTGCCTTTGCTTACCTGCGTGAGCACTTCCCACAGGCCTACAGCGTTGACATGAGCCGACAGATCCTCACTCTCAATGTGAACCTCATGCTGGTAAATGAGAGGTGCCCCAGTAGAACTGAATTGTTCGGTTTATTGAGATGTGGATCTCACTCTAGCTCAGGCTGGCCTAGAACTCAGTATGTAGCTCAGGCTTACCTCAAACGCATGGCTAATCCCTTGCCTCAGGTCCCTGGGATTCGAGGCATAAGCTACCACCCCTGGCTTTAAGTTGAATCAGAGAAGAAATAGCCAGCGGAGGAGGCAGTTAGTTTTGAGATCCTGGACAAGCCATGTGCAGGTAGTAAGAGACAAGCAGGAGGCTTTGGCTTTAGGTTTTTTGAACTCCAGGTAGATCAGGCATAGGGTGGAACTTCTGGGAGTGAGGGAGAGAGTAGAGGAGAGGGTAGCCAAGAGGAGAATCCCTTGGTCCATCTCTTTGGCTCCCAGGAAGGGAAAGATTCCAGGTAAGCAGAACAGTGACCTTGTACTTGCTACTCCAGGGCCAGGCTCAGGAGTGCCTGTTGGAGAAGTCAATGTTGGACAACAGGAAGAGTTTTCTGGTGGCCCGCATCAGTGCACAGGTAGGAATGGGGCTGAGGGTTAGCATTTGCTTTACCGCTGACCTTCATTGACTGGACCCATCCCAATTCCCAGGTGGTAGATTACTACAAGGAAGCATGCCGGGCCTTGGAAAACCCTGATACTGCCTCCCTGCTGGGCCGGATCCAGAAGGACTGGAAGAAGCTGGTACAGATGAAGATCTACTACTTTGCAGCTGTGGCTCATGTGAGGCCCTGAGGTTACTGGGTGTGGACTGGGCCAGGTGGCAGCAGCTTAGGAGACAAGTCATGATGCTTCTTCTTTTTTCCCAGCTACACATGGGAAAGCAGGCTGAAGAGCAGCAGAAATTTGGGGAGCGGGTGAGTGGGCTGTGGTGAAGAGGGTACTCAGGACTTCTTTCAGCCTTGTGAAATCCTGTCTCTTACAGCATACTGGAGGTGGTCTTCTCTGTCCCACCCCTGCCCACCTCATCCTCCTCCCCTGTACCATGTGCCAGGTGATCATCACCCTGATGTAGACCTGGTGTTTTCCTATCTTGCAGCCCTCATCCCTAGGAGTCTGGGAGACATGGCAGGCTCCCAACGGGGGGTGGGGGTGGGGCTGTTTGAAGGTATAAGCTCTCCGGTGATGCTACTTTGGGTTGCTGGCTTGGTTTGTACTTGTTATCTGAGCTGCTTGTCATATGATCAATGACTTGATCATCAGGCAGAGTAGGTAGGGGAGATGAAACATAGGGTCCAAGCAGGAATGAATAGATCTAGCTTTGCCCTCCACAGGTGGCCTACTTCCAGAGTGCCCTGGACAAGCTTAATGAAGCTATCAAGTTGGCCAAGGTAAAGCTGAGCAAGTGTGACTGCTCTTCAAAGCCCTGAGGACACAGGCAATAAGGCTAGCAGGGCTGACAGGTCATTACACTGGCTTTGGTTGGTGTGGGGCCCCATTCCTCTCTCTACCCCACAGGGCCAGCCTGACACTGTGCAAGATGCACTTCGCTTCACTATGGATGTCATTGGGGGAAAGTGAGTGTTTGGGAGTCGTGGTCAGGGTCCATTTTATTACATGTCTTGTTCCTCTGCCTGCCCCCCTTGGGAGAAGCCACCAGTGTGAGAGAGCAGTGGCCTACATAGGAGTCTAGTTTCTGGATCCTTGACAATCTTTGCTTCCTCACCACCCCTCCTCCCAGATACAATTCTGCCAAGAAGGACAATGACTTCATCTACCATGAGGCTGTCCCAGCACTGGATACCCTTCAGCCTGTGAAAGGTCTGACAGCTGAGGGAGAGGCTGAGGAGTAGGGTTGGGAAAAGAAGGTGGGGAATAAGGAAGAGGCTGCCTTGGGTCTCCATAATGGGCCTGATCTCTGTGATGCTCCCTGGTCCTAGGAGCCCCCTTGGTGAAGCCCTTGCCAGTAAACCCCATAGACCCAGCTGTTACAGGTCCTGACATCTTTGCCAAATTGGTACCCATGGCTGCCCATGAGGCCTCATCATTATACAGGTGTGTAGGAGGGACTGACCCTGTCCATGGAGTCACAGAGGGTCTTTGAGGTCTCTCAAATATCAGTTCTCTCAAGAGAGATTTGTCTCTAGTAACTGCTCTGTTGATTCCCCAGCGAGGAGAAGGCCAAGCTACTTCGGGAAGTGATGGCGAAGATTGAGGACAAGAATGAGGTCCTAGAGTAAGTGTGGGACTGGGGGTGGGAGATGGGATACACACCAGGTTTCCTGTCTCCCTGCTCAAGGCCTAGATCTAGGTTTGTGAGTCATGTCTTGGAGGATGCCCTTCTACCCCACTGTTTTCACCAATGCTAGGGCATGGTTTCTCATGACAGTCCATGTGGTAGTAGGGGAGATAAAGGTGGTAATTTTCTTTGCTAAGACCTCAGGCTAGCTTCAGTGGAGGGGATCCCCTAGCACACTTTACATGGAAGGAATTGGACCAGAGCCCAGCATCCATCTGATTCTGTTATCATCTCCTCTCTCCCCCAGCCAGTTCATGGATTCAATGCAGCTTGATCCTGAGACAGTGGACAACCTGGATGCCTACAGCCACATCCCACCCCAGCTCATGGAGAAATGTGCAGCGCTCAGTGTCCGGCCTGACACTGTCAAGAATCTTGTCCAGTCCATGCAAGGTGAGCAAAGCATAGAGCAAGCAGGTGTAAGGGGAGCAGATGAATGCCCTGCCATGGTGGCCTCTACTGAGAGTGGACACTATGCCAGCTAAGCCCTGGCCCGCTCATGTACCATCCCATGCCCCACTGAACCATGGGCAGCCCTGTCTGTGGAGCTCACCAAGTGCTGTCCAACAAACTCTAATCCAAGTGGGCAATTCTTTATCTTGGGTGATGGGCCAGAGTGGTACCTGGTCTGCTTACCTCAGTGGTTACCCCCAATATACCTCAGTACTATCAGGTGTGTTCACGGATGTCGAGGCTTCTCTGAAGGACATCAGGGATCTGCTGGAGGAAGATGAGCTGCAAGAGCAGAAATTGCAGGAGATATTGGGCCAGGCTGGGGCTGGCCCCTCTGTGGCCAAGGCTGAGCTGGCAGAGGTAAGGCGAGAGTGGGCCAAGTACATGGAAGTACACGAAAAGGCTTCCTTCACCAACAGTGAGCTACACCGCGCCATGAATCTCCATGTTGGCAACTTACGCCTGCTCAGTGGGCCACTGGACCAGGTGCGGGCTGCCCTGCCCACACCAGCCCTCACCCCAGGTGAGCCCCGCCCATCACTGTGGGGAGAGGCTTGGAGCTGGGGTTTCTCTGGCCTCACTGACTGCTGCTGCCCTCAGAGGACAAGGCCGTGCTGCAGAACTTGAAGCGCATCCTGGCCAAGGTGCAAGAGATGCGGGACCAACGGGTGTCCCTGGAGCAGCAGCTCCGAGAGCTGATCCAGAAAGATGACATCACTGCCTCTCTAGTCACCACTGACCACTCAGAGATGAAGGTGGGTTAGACAAGCAGTGGGGAGGCCTGTTTCTGGGCTTCATCCTTCAGAATTGAGGCCCCAAGTGTCCTTGTTTTTCTTCAGAAACTGTTTGAGGAACAGCTGAAGAAGTATGATCAGCTGAGGGTGTACCTGGAGCAGAACCTGGCTGCCCAGGACAACGTCCTCCGTGCACTGACTGAGGCCAATGTGCAGTATGCAGCTGTGAGGCGGGTGCTTAGTGAACTGGACCAAAAGTCAGTGTCTGGCCTTGCTCTTAACCCAGCCCAAGCCCCATTCAGAGCTCTGTCCTAGTAGTTCGCCTCACCCTGGCCTTTTTGCCCACCAAGGTGGAATTCCACACTACAGACCCTGGTGGCTTCATATGAAGCCTATGAGGACCTGATGAAGAAGTCCCAAGAAGGCAAGGACTTCTATGCAGACCTTGAGAGCAAGGTGGCTGCCTTGCTGGAACGAACACAGTCCATCTGTGGTGCCCAAGAGGCCGCCCGCCAGCAGCTTCTAGACAGGTGTGTGTGTAAGCTTTAAGCTTCTTGGTAGCTCCAGCCTAAGCCAGCCTGATTTATGGGGGCTGGCCTTATTTCCCTGCCTGTCCTTTAGGGAACTGAAGAAGAAGGCACCACCACGGCCCACAGCCCCAAAGCCACTGCTGTCCCGTAGAGAGGACAGTGAGAGTGCAGAGACCGGAGACCCACCTGAGGAGCTGCATAGCCTGCCCCCTGACATGGTGGCTGGCCCACGGCTGCCCAATGCGTACCTAGGAACTACTACCCCACTCCACTTTCCTCCTGGCCCCTTCCCCAGCTCCACAGGCCCAGCATCCCACTATTTCTCAGGACCTTTACCCTCTGGATCCTATTCAGGCCCCACCCAGCCCATGCAGCCCAGGGCTGCAATGCCCATGGCACCTGGGCCTGCCCTTTACCCAGCCCCTACCTACACACCAGAGCTGGGCCTTGTGCCCAGATCCTCCCCACAGCATGGAGTGGTAAGCAGTCCCTATGGGGGTGTAGGACCACCCCCACCAGCTGTAGGTCTCCCCTCTGCTCCACCTCCCCAGTTCTCAGGCCCTGAGTTAGCCATGGCAGTTCGACCAGCTACCACCACAGTAGATAGTGTCCAAGCCCCTATCTCTAGCCACACAGCACCACGGCCAAACCCTACCCCTGCTCTTCCCCAGCCCTGCTTTCCTGTGCCTCAACCTGTCCCCCAACCCGTGGCCCCACCACAGCCTCTGCCCTCACCCTACACATACTCTGTAGGGACCAAGCCACACCTTGCAGGCCCTCCACCACAGCACCACTTTCCTCCTAGTATTCCCACAGGCTTCCCATCCCCCCGGCTTGGGCCCCAGCCCCCACCCCATCCTCACCCTTCAAGAGCATTTGGGCCACAACCCCCACAGCAGTCCCTTCCATTCCAGCACCCACATCTCTTCCCACCCCAGGCCCCAGGGATCCTTCCACCACCACCCCCTTATTCTTTTCCCCATCAGCCTAGTATCTTAGGGCAGCCACCACCCACCCTGCATACTCAGCTCTACCCAGGCCCTTCTCAAGACACTCTGCCTCCCCATTCAGGGACTCTGCCTTTCCCCAGTCCTAGGCCTCCTCAGCCGCCTCATCCCACCTTGGCATATGGTTCTGCTCCTTCCTCTAGGCCACTGGGTCCCCAGGTAACCCCTGTCTCCATTCGAGGCCCCCCACCTGCCAGCCAGCCCACCCCTAGTCCCCACTTGGTGCCTTCACCTGCCCCATCACCAGGGCCAGGCCCAGTATCTTCTCGGCCCCCAACAGCAGAGCCACCACCATGTTTGCGCCGAGGTGCTGCAGCTGCAGCAGATCTGCTGTCCTCTAGCCCTGAGAGCCAGCATGGTGGCACTCAGCCACCTGGAGGTGGGCAACCCCTGCTGCAGCCTACCAAGGTGGATGCAGCTGAGGGCCGACGGCCACAGGCCCTGCGACTGATTGAGCGGGATCCCTATGAACATCCGGAGAGACTGCGGCAGTTGCAGCAGGATCTGGAGACCTTTCGGGGCCAGTTAGGGGATGCAGGGGCACTGGATACTGTCTGGAGAGAGTTGCAAGAGGCACAGGAACATGACGCGCGAGGTCGATCCATTGCCATTGCCCGCTGCTACTCACTGAAGAACCGGCACCAGGATGTTATGCCCTATGACAGTAATCGTGTGGTGCTGCGTTCAGGCAAGGATGACTACATCAATGCCAGCTGCGTGGAAGGGCTCTCCCCATACTGCCCGCCCTTGGTGGCCACCCAGGCCCCACTACCTGGCACAGCTGCTGATTTCTGGCTCATGGTGCATGAGCAGAAAGTGTCAGTCATTGTCATGCTGGTGTCTGAGGCTGAGATGGAGAAGGTGAGAGCCTAGATGGGTGCCCAGGAGAGTATCATGGGGTGGTGAAGCAGGGAGCTCTGGAAAACTATAACCATCTTGTCTACCCCTTAGCAAAAGGTGGCACGCTACTTCCCAACTGAGAGGGGTCAGCTCATGGTGCATGGAGCCCTAAGCCTGGCACTAAGCAGCGTCCGTACTACCGAAACCCATGTCGAGCGAGTACTGAGTCTGCAGTTTCGTGACCAGAGCCTCAAGCGCTCTCTTGTGCACCTCCACTTCCCTACTTGGCCTGAGTTGTGCGTTCAGTGCTCTGATTGGTGGGGAATAGGGCAAACTCCTTGGTCCTTAAAGGTGAGGGCCTCAGATCAGGCATGGTTTATATCTGCTCTTTCCCTGCAGAGGCCTACCCGACAGCCCTGGCAACCTGTTGCGCTTCATTCAGGAGGTGCACGCACATTATCTGCATCAGCGACCCCTGCACACACCTGTTGTTGTGCACTGCAGGTAGGGAGCCTGCAGCCACCCAAGGGTTTCTGCTCCATGGGCTCTTAGCCTGACTTTGCACTCCGTTTTTGCCACAGCTCTGGTGTAGGCCGCACAGGAGCCTTTGCGCTGCTCTATGCAGCAGTGCAGGAGGTGGAGGCTGGGAATGGGATTCCTGAACTGCCTCAGCTGGTGCGGCGGATGAGGCAGCAGAGAAAACACATGCTGCAGGAGAAAGTGAGTGGATAGGTTGAGCTGGGCCAGGCCTCTGCCCTTGGTGAGGATGGCCCCTGCCCAGGTAACTGGATTATGTGCCTTTCTGCAGCTGCACCTCAGGTTCTGCCATGAGACACTGGTGAGGCATGTGGAGCAGGTCCTGCAGCGCCATGGCATGCCCCCTCCAGGCAAGCCTTTGGCCAGCACGAGCATCAGCCAGAAGGTGAGAATGGTTTCCCTGGGGGCTGCTGGGTCAGTCACAGCCTGATGAAACAAAGTCTCTCCTCACTGGCTATGCCTTCTCAGAATCACCTTCCTCAGGACTCCCAGGACCTGGTCCTTGGTGGGGATGTACCCATCAGCTCCATCCAGGCTACCATTGCCAAGCTCAGCATCCGCCCTCCTGGGGGCTTGGATTCCCCAGCTACCAGCCTGCCAGACCCTGCAGAACCCCCAGGTCTCCTACCAGCCAGCTTTCCAGAGCCTGTCCCTGTCCCATCCTCCTCTCCACCCCAACTCTCTTCACCTCTGCCTGAGGCCCCCCAGCCAGAAGAGGAGCCACCAGTGCCTGAAGCCCCTAGCTCAGAGCCCCCCTCCTCATCCCTGGAGCTACTGGCCTCCTTGACTCCAGAGGCCTTTTCATTGGACAGCTCCTTGCGGGGAAAGCAGCGGATGAGCAAGCAGAACTTTCTGCAGGCCCACAATGGGCAGGGTCTGAGGGCTGCCCAGCCTACTGATGACCCCCTAAGCCTTCTGGATCCACTCTGGACACTTAACAAGACCTGAACAGACTTTGTCTACCTGATCCTTACACTACATCATCTCCCATACCACACAGGGCCTCTCTGGGTGGGCACAGCCTCTCCCATTCCTGCTGCCTTCAGCCCTGCCTGGCCAGGCCACGCCTATCAGGCAGAGATGAACTGTGGGCCTTGAGTCAGGTTCTGCTCCTTTGTGGGATCATCGATGTTTTTCATCTTTTGGCTATTGAAATAATAAACCTATTCTACAGCCAGTGTGTGAGTCTTCTCACTGCTGTTACCAGAGGCTTAGTGCCAAAGACCCCTCCCTTTGCTTTTCCTATCCACTGTTTCTTGGACAGCTCCTTCCTGGAACAGCTCTGAGAAGGGCCTAGGCATTAAGTGACAGAAGTAGCTCAGGCCCTTGGTAAAGGTGGTTTTTTAAAAAGTTTAATATTACAGTCAGGCGAAAGGACAGTTGAGGCGGTTGCGAGATGATGTCCAGTTCCGGCCTCCAGTCTAAGTCCAATGAATTGGCCCACCTCACAGCACCCCATCCTGAGCAGCAGGGGCCCCTGTGTAGCCAGCCTGCCCTCAGTCCAGCTTCTCCAGCACAGAGGGTACGTACACCAGGCTGAGCTCACTGCCGAAGTTGCAGACAATGGCAGCATTGTTCAGCACCAAAATCTGGCGGGCAGGCTGGGCCTCACTGTTCTTGCCCAAGTAGACTGTCTGTAACAGGTCCCCATAGTTTAGGTCCCAAAAGGAGACACAGCCTTGGCCGCCAGTCACCAGCAGGTTGTCCCAGATAACCCCCAAGCTTGCACCACAGCCCAGGTCCTGGAGGTAAGAACAGAAGAGGGCTTCAGCATCAGTTCTTCACCCAAACACCAAGACCCTTATACCCCACCTGCCTACCTGCTGAATAGAGTACAGCTTAATGCCTGTGCTGCGGTCCCAGATGTTGATGAGGTCATCCAGGCCACTACTAATGACGCAGGAAGTGGTACAGGTGAGAGAGGTGACATCTCCACGGTGAGCAAACATATGGCTGACCCGGCTGCCTGTGAGCACATCCCATAGGCAGATGGCCCCATCTTGTCCTCCACTGGCCAGCACCATGGTCTGGGGAAAGGCCCAAAGGAACCAGGTCACTGGTGGAGTACCTCTCTTTGAAAGATTCTGGTGCTGAAAAATGCTGCCTTTTGTCAACAAGGTGTTCCCATTACTGACTCCTGGAAGACCATGGGTCAAAAAGGGTCACTGACTGCCACCTCATCTACAGTTCCCATACCTGGTCGATGTACACAGTTGTGATTGCCCCCGAGTGGCCCTGCAGGGTGAAGAGGCAGCACGAATCCTCCAGTCGAAATACCTGGGACATGGATGAGCAGGCTCTGGTTTCTGGGACCTTCCCAAGTTACACTTTAGCCAGGAAACGCCTTCCATCATTCCTCTAGGACTCCTCCAGACTGCCCCCAACAACTGACCCATGCTGTTCCCCAACCCCCTCCCAGGCCACCAGCACCACCCAGAGATAGACAATACATACTCTTAGAGTATGGTCTTGGCTCCCAGTCACCAGGCGCCCAGCAGCAGCTCTCAGGGCTGTGATGGGTTTCTGATGTGCACAGGGCACTGTGTGGGTCAGGTGGCAGGTCACTGTGTTGCTGCTGTACACAGGAGTTGATGGAGAACTACCTCGCCCTTGAGCTCCTAAGGACAATGGGCTTAGTGAACAGATTCTGAAAAGGTACATCGCAGGTATCCATCCCCCTACCCCCAGCATGTTGCAGACACCTGCTGGCCCCAAGCCCTCTGACCTCTGAACTGCAAGGGGCTGAGAGAAGTGTGAGTTTCCAAGGAGAAGAAATCAAGAGAACCATTGAGTCGGGCAGCCACAATCCTGGAAGAGAAGAGCAAGATGGCCTTCCCTCAGCAAGATGTGGTAACAATCAGGAAGAGACAGGAGAGGCTATGGCTAAAAGGAATGCACAGATGCTGGAGCTTGAAGGCTCTGGCTACAACTCAATCTCTTGAGCTGGGCCTTTAATCCCAGCATTTGGGAGGCAGAGGCAGGTAGATTCCTGAGATCAAGGCAAGCCTAACCTACATATCAAGTTCCAGGCCAGCTGGGGTGACAGGGAAACCCTATCTCAAAAAAAAAAAAAAAAAAAAAAAAAAAAAAAAAAAAAAAAAAAACCCACTCAACCTCTATGCCTTAGTTTTCTCATTTGTAAAATAGGGTAACTGTGCCCACCTCAAAATGGCTGTGGGGTCAAATGAGCTAATTCAGGTAATGTGGTACCTAGTGAATGTCTTACATGCCTGTAAATTAAAATACAAAAAGAAGTGGAGGGTTCCCTTACAACCTGGAGCTTAAGGCTAGGAGAACTGGATCCGTTGTGAGGAAAGGAAACAGGACCTAGGGTAGAGATGTGCTCTGGAGCCACAGGGGGCTGCAGTCTCCATGACATGAAAGCAGTTCTGACCTAAGTATATAGTCTACTCCATTTTCTTTATCCACAAAGGATTTTCTTTGCTCCCAAGAATTCTTAAGCATAGACTGATGGACATGGATGGATCTCTAGACCATGAATCATGAGGAATTCAGAAATCTTCTCCAACAAAAGGCAGTACATGTCTAAGACTGCTGCCCATGAATCAGAAAGACTCAGAGCAGACCTAGGAAGCCATGGTACACAGGAAAGGGTGAGGAGAGACCATTGTCACCAGGAACCTAGATAGTTAAACAGAGAAATCTAAGCTTTTCCTAAAGCTAAGGGAAATGTGCAGCAAGGGAGGTTTGAACAAGCACAGAGGGACTTGATAAGGTTGGCCAGGCTGTGAGTAGAATGGGACAAGGGCCTGTGCAAGAGTCCTAGTGGTAGCAGAAAAGAAGGCAGCAGCCCAAACAGAGAGCACTAAGGGCATGAGTTCCCTGACCCCAAGAAAAAAGTTACAGCTCTAGCTCGGATGATGATATCAACCTTGAAAGAAGAGCCAGCATGGGGCAGGTAGGTGAACTAGGGTTGTAAACTGAGGTGAGAGCCAAAGTTCAGGAACTAGGACCACCCCATCCCTCACCTGTGTATGTGCAGAAACCCAAGATGGTGTGAGGGCAAGCAGCATGAGGGACAGAGACAGCATCCAGCAACCACCGACTTTTTGGTTGTTGTCTTTTTGAGACAGGGCCTCCCTGTAGTCCCAGCTGACTTGAACTCACTATGTAGACCAGGCTGGCCTTGAACTCAGAGATCTGCCTGCCTCTGCCTCCCAAGTGCTGGGATTAAAGGCTTGCACCACCACGCCCAGCTGGCAACCACAGACTTTTACAAGAAAGTTCTAGGCCCAGGTGTAGCACAGCTGTAACCCTACAATTTAGGGGGCTGAGGCAGGAGGATTGCTTCAAGACCAGTCTGGGCTACACAGTGAGTTTCAGATCAGCTTGTACTACCTACCAGAGTGAGACCTTGCTTCAAAACAAAACAAGTTCTGCAGACACATTTTCTGCAACTGAAAATACAGCTGAAATATTCAGAAGGGTCAGTGTTTAGAATCCAGTAAGAGGGCAGAAAAGAAAACCTGTGTACTCCTCACTGTCCCAGTGGCTAGGAACCCTGGGAGCTTAACCTGTGCCTGGACCTTCTAGCAAGCACTTCACACTCTAAAACTGTCACCCCTGGACCAACATCCTGTGTTAACAGGTACCAGGGGTTGAGTTTGGAAAGGTAAGTCAAGTGTCACATCAGGAAAGGAACCAGAGCTCAAGGAAGACACAATGGGGCCCAGGCAAGCAGCCTGATACTCTGACCTCTTGTCCAGGAAGACAAGGGCTGTGATCCCGGAGGAGACCTCTTCATTACTGCAGCAGAGCACTCCTTCGATGGCATCCCACACCTGCAAAAGCAGGTGATGAGTACACCCCTCCTTGTGGGAAGCTCCCCATCCCGGCTCAAGCTACCTCAGTCTACCTCTAGGCTGCCACTGCTTCGCCCAACCACGATGAGGTTGCCTTGCAGCTCCAAACTCCAGATGGAGCCTGCTGTGCTGGGGGCCCAGGCCAGAGAAGGGGAGCACTTCTCAGGAGCACATCCCTCATCTTTAGAGGCCTGGGATAGTGTGGGTACTGGGGAAGGAGGGCGCAGGACCGGCATGTGCATAGCAGCCAGCCCCGCCTCCTGGTACACGCGCTGCACCACACGGCTGAAGTCATAGCCAGAGTCCCGAGTACGACCACAGCCTGCCCGGTGCCGAGGCTCAGGCTGGGTGGGCTCTGGGGGCGGCTGCACGGAGAAGTTGGTGTCGATTAAGCAGGTGAGGTCTGGCTGATCCCCGAAGAGGGAAGGCAGTGGAGGGCCCCGGGGGCGGTGTCGCGGAGGGCTGTCCCCAGGCTCCTCTGGGCTAGCTTTCCCACCATCCGACAGCCTTTCCCAGTTCTCCTGGGTTTCAAAAGCGCCACCTCCACTGCTGTCCCTGCGTGGTCTGCCAGGATGAAGCCACCATAATTGAGAGCTGAGGGCAGAGCCTGCAAAGGTGAGGTGAGGGGAGGGACGAGGGGCGGGACCAAACCGAACTTACCCCAGGCGAGGGATGCGTGTGAGGCAGTCCCCAGTCTGTGCATCCCACACGCAGATGTGCCCTGCCAAGCAGCAGCTCACCAGTAGCATCCCATCACTGGCCAGACACTCAATGTCCTGTGTGAGGGTGCTGTATTGGCATGGGCCAAGGCCATGAGGCCCTGCTGTCCCTTGCACCTTGCCCTGCTCACCATGAGGTGCCCACGCAGCATCAGTGGGATGATCTCTGTCTCAGGGGGTGTGTAGCCATAGTCATCGCAGGGCAGGTCCCCACGTCTCCGCCTGCCGGGACCACCACCTGGCTGCCCATAGTTACGAGGGCAAAGCACCCGGTAGAGGCAGAGCAGCAGCAGCACAAGGACGATGCCAGCTGCCAGGCCAAGCGCAGCCACCCTGCATTGGACAGTGGAGGATGAGCAGGGTACACCCCCAACACTGGCTTCCACTCTGACCCACATCTTGCACCACAGCAGCCTTACTTGTACAAGGTAACATCACCATGGGCCTGTGTTCCACCTCCCTTAGGTCCAGCCTCCCAGAGCCCAGCAGGCAAAGGCCCAGGTGGGGCCCAGGCACTGCGACCATCCTGAGGATGCCGACCCTCCAAGGCCTCCTGTGGGTTCAGGTGCAGAGTGACAGGGATGACTGGCAACAGGCTGATGTACCTGTGAGCAGACAGTGGGCAACCCTCAGCAGGGATGCCTTCCTAGGACAGTTCTACCCCTGCCCGCCAGCCCCTCCCCACACCAGCTCTGGCACCCCAATATTGCTCCCTTTCTGACACTATCACCCTAGTACCCCTGAATGGATCTCATTCTACCAAGTGGAAGAGGGGCAAGCAACCTGAGAACAAGGACCCAGGACCACCCTCTCTCAGGTTGGTTTCTAGGACCAATGTTCCTTTTTTTTGAGGCAGGGTCTCCCAGTAGCCCCAGCTGGCCTGGAACTCACAGAGATCCGCCTGCTTCTGCCTCCCAAGTGCTGGGATTAAAGGTGTGCACCACCATGCCTGTCCCTATCAGCCACCTTATAAATGGTTTTAACTTTCAAATTCAATGCAGAATTCAGACTAGTGCTTCACCCACCTGTTGGAGAAGGGGACTCCCTGGGGATGGTGAGCTGTCACCAGAGAGGTGGCAACTGCCACAGCACAACTCACCTCTTGGCTAGTGTGATGTTGTAGTAATTGAAGAGGGTGGGCCAATGGCGGAAGGACAATTTCCTCCACAGTTCCTCATCCTCAGGTCCCCAGGTTACCTCTGGGGCTCCACCGTCATGAACACTCTCTGCTGGACCCACATGCTCAGGCAGCTCGCCTGGCAACGTCTGATTCTCTGGTAGTTTAGGGGCATCAGGTGGGAAGATGGAGAAGGCAGGGTCTGGGTGGTTGGCAGGCAGCACACCACTGGGAACTGGCATTGGGGCCAGGGAGCCCTCACCCAATGGGCTCTGTTCCGTCACCTGGGCAGCGAGGTAGGTACGTAGTCCTGCTGGGTCTGTATACACCAGGATGCCAATCCAGACAACGGTACCCGCCTGAAGTTGGATATCAAATGCTCAATAAGTCCTTGTGGAAATAGACCCCAGCAGTCTTGGCTCTCCCACTGGAAGGACCTGGGTCTCGACATGTGCAGACAGGACATGGCCCTCAACCTGTGCTTTCTTTGAACTTCCCAAGTCCTCTCACAACCACTTGCCAGTACTTGCCACTGAAGAGGCCTGGCTCCCTTCCTGTGGTTGGGAGTTGGGTTTTCAGGCTGGAAGTCACTGGAACCCCTTTAAGTGACAGAACTTCCTCATCCCTCTCTTGAGCTGGTCCCAGAGAGCTACTGCCATTCCCAGGTCAGCATGATCAGAGAGACCAGCTGCATGACCTGCTGCAGAGACCACCCAGAGGGCTTCAGTGTCACTTTCCTCTCTCGTCAGCTGCCTGAGAGAGATGCTGCTGTCCTGGTAGCCTGCACAGTACTCCCATCCCACAGAACCCTGTCTAGCAGGGCCCTGTTCTGGGTCCCACTGAAGATGGCTCTTCCCCCTGATGATCTTGGGGCTGCTTCTCCCACAGGCAGGCCAGAAACTATTGATCAGGGAGGAAAGGCACATGAAGCAGCTCCTAAAGCTAGGCTCTGGGGGACGACTGGGGTCTGGGGCACACGCTGAGGGAATTTGAGTGCTGTCCTCTCCAGGGCAGAGTAGGAGTGACAGGTACCATGATAAGGCGCTGTGCCAAGCGAGTACGGGCCAGGAAGTAGACAACACGCAGTCTTTTGGGGAGTCGCAGATTTCGGAAGGATGATGGTTGTAATGTGATGGTATGGGGTGTGGATGGCCGTACAGCTAGCTGTCTCTCGTAACGTGTAGGTCGCCCCACAGGCTTGGCTGAGGGCAAGCAGGACTCAGGGGGCAGCCGCTTGTTCAGATCCGCTAGCTGTTAAGGATATACAATATTCAGGTGTCCAAAGGCTGCCAGCATGGGAGTGCTGCCCCTGCCTGGGGTCACACCCTCTCATTCAGAGGCCCTCAGAACACAGCTAGCACCAAGCAATAGGGTGGGCAGGGTAAACGCATCCACTCTTACCTCCATCCGGCGAATGTCAATGGACAGGACAGTGGTGAAAAACAGCATCTGGAGGAAGAAGTCAGACACCAGACCCACAACAGCAAAGAGACAGAACTCCTAAAAGGAGAACATATGAGAGGTCCTGTGACTATATGGTTACAAGTCATAGGAAACAGTCCCCTGGCTCCAGGCACCCCAGAATTGGCAGGACACAACAGAAACAAGGAAAATATTCTGGTACCAGCCTGGGAGCTGACTGGTAGGGTCAGGCTAGCAGCTCACTTCATCCCCACTAGGGGTCAGCACAGAGCCCTTACATTTTTCTCCAGAGAGGACTGAGGGAGTGCTTTTTGTGAATCTTCTGGTCCCTTGAGAAAGGAGTGGGAGTCTGAGTCAACTTGGAAAACTCTAAGCCCCACTAGCCTGTTCCCTAAAGAGCCCTCCTCCACAAGTCCTGACCCCGCTCATGTGCCAACATCCTAGCCAGAGCCTTTCTGGCTAGCTACCCACACTGGACCATAAAAGAAAAGATAAATTCTGCTCTAATGAAAAAGGGTGCTCTATATCCCATGCTCAGTTAAGGAGCAGAACTTGCTGAGATTTAGGTTTTCTTCCCCTGCCCCTGTGTGAGATCTCTGGCATAGCAACACAGATTCTACAAAGCTTGGGGAAGATAACAGGACAACACACGACATCCAGTGGCACAGGGGTAGCACCACCTCTAACATTCCAAGACTGCTCTGTGTCATGCAGCCACTGAACCAACCCCTGACTCCCATCCCTTGCCAAGAGAAAAGGCTTGCAGGGGTGGGGGAAGTTACCTGGATGGCAGGCACAAGGGTAAAGTAGCCAATAAGGATAATGCCTAGTTCAGTTGCCATGTTCTTCATGATGGACCAGCTCTCGCTGCTTAGGCCTGCAGAGAGAAACGGCATGGGGATAGTGAGGGCCTCCCTGTGCTACATGTCTGCACCTGACCTTGTGGTTCTCAGATGGATAAAAGCATGGAGAGCGGACCCAGCCTCTGGGGCAGTCATTCTACCCAATGCCCAGACTCTAAGGAATTGCCACCATAATACAGTTGCTACAGAGAAAGGGGGAGAGGAGGCACTTAGGGCTTGGGGGGTATAGCAAAGCATTATGACCACCAGAAAAAGGGAGAAGCAGAGTGTTGAGAAGAGGAAAGCCTAGTGCTACCCACTGTAACCACATCCAATCTCTACCTGTGGTCCTGTCTGGGTTGCATGGGCCAGCCTCAGAGTATGCACACTAGCCACACAGCAGCATGGTTACAGCAATAGAGGAGCTAGCTGGCTTTTCCTCAAACTGTCCCCAGCACCATGCTATCATACTGTCACCTGAACAAGTCTCTGCACACACAGTGTGTATGGACTATTTTGCACTATCTCTTCTCTTCATAAGCCCATATCCAGCACAGGGTCTAGCAAACCATAGAGACTTAGAGGCTGGTAAAATAAATGCATAGTCTGCCTCTGGCTGTTGCTCACAGTAATGAGCTTAGGATGAACTGCCTCAAAAGAGCAACCATCAGGATAGGCTCTTTCCTCACTTTTCCTAGAGCCCCAGTTCCGACCAGTGAGGCCAGGGGGCTTTCCTGGCAGCTGTGGAGGCAGCAGCTCTGAAGAAACAAGCAAGTGCCAAGGTCAAGCACTGTGGAGTGAGGCATGAAGAGAAAACTCTAGGTACTGACCCAGACAGAAGGCTGCCATCAAATAAGAGGCCCGATGCTGTCCAGTTTGCTTTCTTACATGGGTGAGAACCAAGTACAATATAATGACCTCATGGTTCCTTGGGACACAGGCTAACAAGCTGCCAGGGCCCAGTACCCAACTACACAACTACCCCGGAGGCCAGAACAAGGCAGGTTTTTTTGTTTTTGTTGTGGGTAAGGGTGAAAAGGTATATGCAGGTACATGTGTGTGTGGCGGGGGGGGGTGGTCAGAGTTCAGTTTCAGGTGTTGTTCCTTAGGAGCCATCTACCTTGTATTTTGAGGCAGTCTCTTAGTGGCCAAGAGCTTGTAGATTAGGTTAGGCTGGTTGGGCAGCAAGCTGTAGGGATCTCCCTATTTCCTTGGGTACAGTAACAAGAGGAGCTGCCCACCACTCCAGTATTACCTTGTGCAATCCGCAGCTTCACCTCAAGGTCCACTGGGGTTGAGACCACTGACTTGGTGAGCACCAACACATTCTCTAACCCAATAACTACCACCAGGTATGGGAAAATTTCACTGGAAACAGAGAAGGAGACAGTAAAGAATGTTGGTGTGGTCAGGTCACACACAAGGCTTGAGCCTGAGAAGGCTGTGGGGCTTCCAGCCTGTAATAGAAGCTGCTAAGTGGCTTCTACAGCACAGGGCAGAAACCCTCCCCAATATACCAACATAGCTTCTGGCAACACAGCTATTGGCCTTTTTAAAGATGTTTATTTATTATTTTTGTTATTTCCTTTTTTCTTTGGGTGTTTTTTTGTTTTTGTTTTTGTTTTTTTAAGGCAGGGTCTCCCTGTAGCCCCAGCTGACCTGGAACTATGTAGCCCAGGCTGACCTTGAACTCACAGAGATCCGCCTGCCTCTGCATGTGCACCCACATGCACATAGACACACACACACACACACACACACACACACACACACACACACATTTGTCTTTTTGAGACAGGGTCTCCCTGTAGCCTCTGCTGGCCTGGAACTCTTATGTAGGCCAGGCTGGCCTCAAACTCACAAATATCCATCTGCCTCCCAAGTGCTGGGATTAAAGGCATGCACCACCACACCCGGCTTTTTTTTTTTAATTTTATGAGTATGATATATGATATGATTTTATGAGTGTTTTGCCTGAATGTAAGTGCACCTGTGTCATGAAATACCCATAGAGGTCAGAAGAGGGTATTGGATTCCATGGAACTGGAGTTATGGACAGTTGTTAGCCACCATGTAGAGACCTGGGTCCTCAACAAGAGCAGTTACTGCTCCTTACTGCTGAGCCATCTCTCCAGCTCCAGCTCCTAGGTTTAGGTAGGCTCCAAAGCCTTACCAAGAGGCCAGCAACCATCCTTATCTCCTCCATCCAGTACGGGGGAGGGAGCACTTCAGGAGGTCCCTCTACAGAACCATTGCCCCACTGCAAGACCACAGTTCCTCCTGGTCCTTACTACCAGATTACAGTAGCTGAAGAAACAACTATTTCTAAGACCCCACACCAGTCACTCCAGGCCAAGATATTGAACTAAATGGGAGGAAGGATTCAGGCCTAAATCCCTAAACCTTTGCTGAGAAGCTGTGTCTGGAGAAGAGCAACTGTTCCTAAAGGGCATTGTGAGCTGACCCCATGGAAGAGAGGGCTCTGTGGAGGTGTCCACAGGCAGGAGTGGGCTCAGAAAAGGAGAAGACATTCCAGGGTAAGGGAATGAACAGAAACAATACAAAGTAGCTTTTCTGAACAGCTGTTGGCTAGCATATTGCTAGGCCTTGAGTCCAATCTCTAGTATTGGGGGGAGAGTAGTTTTTCCTATGGCCAGCCTAAGAAACCAAGGTCAGAGACTGGCCAGTCAGCTGGCAAGTATTAGGCAGGCAGGGCTCAGCCACAGTGAAGGAGACCAAAGCCTGAGGACACAGAGGTCTTCCAGACTAGGACTGGCAGAGGAATGGCAAGGGGAAAGTGACACCAGTAAAAACCACAAACTATATGCCATCAGACTGACAGCATCAGACTTACTCTCTGCTTACTCTCTCACTGGGCATTTAAATCCTCAAAAAAATTTTCATTGCACTTATTTATTTATTCATTCATTCATTCATTCGTGTGTGGGTGTGTGTGTGTGCGTGCGTGTGCGCTCGTCGCAATCAGAGGACAACTTGCAGAGTTGGTTCTTTCCTTTTAGCACATGGCTTTCAAGATCAGGTTGTCAGGCTTAGTGAGAAGTGCCTTTACCCACTGAGCCATCTTGCCAGTTCTCTTTTCTTGTTTTTTTTTTGAGACAGGGTCTTATTATGTAGCTGGTATTCTCTATGTAGACCAGGCTTGCCTCAAACTCAAGAGATCTGCCTGCCTCTGCCTCCCCCAAGTGCCAGAATTAAAAATGTGTGCCACCATGCCCCTCGCCAGTTCTTTCTGAACAGCGTAGAAGAAATGTATCCTCTGTATCACACCCTCTTGTGACATAAGCTGTCAAGAAGTGTGTGTGGATATAAAATATAAACACAAATACACTCATATATACATGCAATTCATGTATCCATATATATGCAAATACAAATACTCTATATACAGAGCTCACAAATGTACATACACATACTTAAAGACGAAGAAACCACACCTCCTCAATGTCAAGAAGAGCAAAGTGAGGATATGGGGTAATAACAAACATCTAGTCCAGGGAATACCAAGTGCCCAGATATTCAAGGCTCTCTGGCCTGAGGGCCTCCTCTACGGCCCTAAGGGACCTACCCGCCATTGAGTGTGGGTGTGAGGCCGAAGAGAGTGCAGAGCCCCACAGACATGAGCAGTGAGCTGAGCACTGTGACCACGGCAGCCAGGGCGAGCCCCCACTTGGACTTGACCATGTCGATCTTGCCTAAAGGGCAGAGAGGACACATCAAGACAGTACCTCCCCCCAGGCCCTTCTTAACTGAGTTCCTGGGAGTAGAATGCGCCAACAATCAAAGAAGGGAAAGCTCCTGCTTTAACCAAAAGAAAAGGACGACTATGGACACATCCTAGTTTCGTGAGCTTGGCATACCTTCTGGGAACTCTAAACAGGAAGTCTTTTTTTTTTTTTTTTTTTTTTTTTTTTTTTTTTTTTTTACGTCTTCCTGTAGCCCCAGCTGGCCTGGAAGTCACTATGTAGACCAGGATGGCCTTGAAATCACAGAGATCTGCCTACCTCTGCCTCCCAAGTGCTGGGATTAAAAGCATGCGCCACCACACCTAGCTTTTTTTTTTTTTCCTCTTTTTGAGACAGGTCTCCCTATAGCCTCAGCTGGCCTGGAACTCACTATATAGACCAGGATCACAGAGATCCACCTGCCTCTGCCTCTTGAGTGCTGGGATTAAAGGCATGCGCCACCACACCAAGCTATAGGAAGTCTTTTTCTGAGAAGCAAATGAAACCCTAGTTTTAGTGATCACCAGGTATGTTCATCAAAAGTTCAATAGAAGAACACCATGACCCACGTGTGGAGAAGTAGATGTAGGCAAACAAGATGATGTAGGTGGTCACCAGGGGGATGAGCTCGGCAACACCAATCTCTTCTTTGAAGTGCACATGGACCAGGTTCTCTGCCCGAAAGCTGCAGTTGGGGCTGGGGTACAGGAGCATGAGCCGGGTACGCAGGCTGCTCAGGAACCTGGAGACAAGGAAAATCCCTAGAGGGGCCCAGCAGGGTCTCCCTCCTCCCCTATGTTAAAGGAAGCCTCTCTTTTAAGTCTCAGTTTCTCTACAATCTCCACAGTCACCAGGAGAATGACAAGACTGAGAAAGTTCCTTTTCTGACCTATCACACAGCTCCAGATGCCCAAGGCCTGGGAAAACCCATCATAGGCACTTCAAGTACCCTTACCAATTGTGGGGAGCTGTTTGCAGTGATCCCCTGAAAAGGACTCAGGCTGTATAGGACTCAGTAATCTGCTGGGACTACCTACCTTGAGCTTAGAAGAAACCAGAGAAGATGGCCAGGGTACCAAAATTGTCAGATCTGCCTCAGTTCCCTTATTCTTAGCCACCTATCAGGCCATCCCATTCAAACTGAACAGACAGCATGAGTGTTATGCCTGCATGTAGGTAAGTGCACCCGTGTCATGCAATGCCCGTGGAGGGCAGAAGAGGCTGTTGGATCCCCTGGAACTGGAGTTACAGACAGTTGTTAGCTGCCATGTGGGTGCTGGGATTTGAACCCGGGTCCTTCTGCAAGAACAGTCAGATGGCTGAGCCATCTCTCTAGCCCCCAGATAGCATTCTTTAGTCTAAAGAATATAAATATTCCAACAGGAGGCCAGGGGCCATGCTGACCAGAGATAGAACCACTCAAGTTTGGGCCTGATCACCTTACTTGGCATGGTAGTGCTGAAAGACGAGGGTGATGGTGTATGAGACCATCCTCTTCCTTGTGTAGAGGCTCACTCCACTGTATTTCCCAGGAACTCCAAACAGCAAGTCTGTGGGAAGAAACCAGCAAGTATTAACAGAGGAATGACAGCCACTGAAGGGCTAGCCAGGACTCCCCTGCCCCCACTCTTGGAAACAAAAGATAACCCCTGATCCACTAGAAAATCCACTGAAGGAGAGATGGTGACCACATACAGGCTTCCTCCAGGTCCTCAGGGAGCTAGTGCTGAGGGTACCTTTGAGTGTGGCTGATGTCTGCAGAGTTTTAGGTTCATGCTGATGAATGGTCCCAATGATGTCAGGATCAGCATGGAATCGTTCCCAGTCATTCTGCCAGAAGTTCCCAGGGGACAGCAACAGGCAGCCATGTTCAGGAAGTAAGGTCCGTAGTTTCCTGAGGCCTGGCAGCAGGTCTGTCACCTGCAGGCAAACCTCCTCCAGGCTCTTGGTCCCGGAGCTGTGCAGGAGACAGAAAGAGGCCCTTCTTGTGCCTGCCAGCAGAGGGCTGACCCACTTATGGGTACCCTCTGTCATAAGGCTCTGGAATCTCCTCCCTGGTATCTCGAAAGAGCTTGGTAACTCAGCAGTGGGAAAAAGCTTCCAAGTGCTCAGCAAGCAGACTGTGCAGCTGTCAAGCCTTTAGAGTACACTGGAGCCCCAGAACCCATCTCCTCCCAGGAGAGGCAAGCGAGAGCATATAGAGCTCTCCCACTAAACACTTTAGCCAACTAAGTGGACAAGGGGGAGAGGGAGAAAATTCAGGGCTTCATTTAGTTCACCAAAATCATCAAAGTCATTAGCTACCTAAAACTTGATGGTAACAGCTTGTAAAGCCAGCATACTCCAGAGACTCACTAATGAACTAGGGAGCAAAACCTGGCCTAGGGCTCCAGAAGGTATCCTCACATGGAGTGTACTCTTGGCAGAGCCCAGAGGCAGAAGGCCACGGGTCACAATAGTCAGCAGACCCAACTCAGGACTCTAATTGTTGTCATCTGCATAGGACCAGGGGCTGGGGGTGGGGGTGGGGTGGGGAGTGTTATGGGATATGATGCAATGGATTCACAAGGATGCAGGAAATGCAAAGTTGCCATAATTATACTGAGGAAGGTAACTCCCTACAGTTCTCATGGAGCTTGGAGTCCCTGGGAGGGGTACCTGTCTCTCAGCACATGGTTTCGGATCTCTTCCACCAGCTGGAATGCCCGGGACAGAGGTGAGCGAAACACATCTACTGCCAGAAGGTTTTTGTGCCAGGGAGACACTGATGACTTCACAAATATCTGCTGGATGTATGCCACTGGAGCACCCACATACTGCAGAAGAAATGGGGCAGGGTAGAAAAGAAACACAGATCACTCAGGAAGGGCTCACTGAGCTTCCAGTCCCAGGCTTGATCCCATGGCGTGTCAAGCCATGACTATGAATGTCACCTCTGCTCACTGCCTTCCTCAGACTCTGCCCCTCCACCCTTAGTCCTACAGAATCTAAACAACTGACTCCCGAGTCTATTTCCAGGTTAAGAGCTCCCTAACCTTTCAGCACATTTCCATTCTCCTTCCTACTCAGGACCATGTGGGTCAGTATTTCAACACAGGACCATGACTACAATTTAGAACCAAGTTCTCAATCTGGGATATAGGGACACGCTCTAAAAATTCTAGTAATGCCCCTTCCCCAAGTTTATTCAAGTTTCTTCTTGTAAGTGTATTATTACTGCCATCATTAATTTGATGGGAAGGTAGTACTGTGGCTTTCATTAGATCTGTCTGTATGTTTGTTTGTTTGTTTTGTGGGAGACAGTCTTACTCTATAGCCCAGACTGGTTTCAGACTTGTAGTCCTCCTGCCTTGGGCCTCCTGACTCCTAGTACTACATGGGTGCAGCACCATGCCCAACCTTCCCATTACATTTTTATAGGAATGGTTGTTACCTCATTGCCCTAAACAACTCTTTCTTCTCTGACTTCCCAGTGATTTGGGGCAAAATCCAGCACTCCTGTGCTTTCACTCCTTGGCTGGAAGCCCTCTCAGACAAACCATGTTAAAATGGGCCTCCTGCACAGGCTCACTCTCCAGCTTAATTGGGCGTCCCTCTGCTGGCTAGCTCTTGATTCATCTCTACCAACTTCCACCTGAACCTTTTGAGCAGGTAGTCTATGTCCTTCCAGTTCTTCCAAGATCCTGACCCAGTCATTAAACATAATGTATCAAGTACATTATGCTGTGAATAGTGATGGCCAGAGATACCATTGTTCCCTAAGACAACAGTTCCTCTCCCACACTGCATATGTTGGGCCTTTCCTTCCATGTCCTGGTTTCCATGTAAGCTCAACATTGTATAGAGCTACCCAGACAGATTGGCTGTGGAGGAGAATAAACTTTGGGGTTAGGCTCTAGTGAGTTTAATCCTGGCTCTGCTTCCTGTCAGCTGTGTGACCTTGGCTGAAGGTCTCTAAGAAAAGTTGCTTTAGGGGAGCCAAGCAAATGCTGGGACCCTCAAGACACTATTGCCTCTTTTAAAATTTATTTTCCATTTTAAATTTAGTTCTTTCTTCATATGTAAATACAGCTACCTAGATTTAAATTCTAGCTCCACCATTCCTTGGCTGTGTGTCATGAACAAGGATCTATGGGTTCTCCAAGGGTCTATGGGCCTTCTTTACTGCTTAAGGAAATGGGAATAAACCCAAATCAGGTCCCTGTGAGGACCAATGAGAACGACAGATGTGAAGCAGCTAGCGAAGTGCCTAGCTGAAAACATTATTCCTTAAAATTATGAGAACTGGATTTGGTATCCCAGGCACCACCATCTCAGCCTCCTAGTTTCTCCAAGTTCAGTAAAGTTGATTTTCTTACCATCATTTCACCAAGTATTCACTTTAAGGAAATGGCTTCCACTGTCTGAGATTTGACCTCCAGAGAACAGATTCAACATGGGCCCACCAACCTTCTCAATTACAATGCTAAAAAACCCCTGCACATTCAGTCTCTTAAATAAGTCTGCTTTTTGCTTACATAAGAATCCTTTCTTGAGTATCTTTGGTGCTGTAAAGCATGGGCACTTACATAAATTTGAATGAAATACAACTCCAACAGGCTGGCAGTCCAAGCACAGAGACGCAGAAGGGTCCATATGTACAAGAGAGCTGAAGAAAGCAGCTCTGTGCTGAGGGCAAGCCTAGGGCATGTGCACGCAGTCCAAGCATGCAAATCTCCCTTCCCTTCCCCTCTGCTCAGGCCAGTCAGATCTGATGTATGGTGATAACCACAAACATTTGCTGAATGCTAATGATGGGCCAGGTACTGCACTCAGTCTTAGCAATCTCTCATTTAACCCTTGTGACAATGTGTAATATAGGTATAACTATCATCCCCATTTTATGAATGTGTAAACTAAGGTACAAAAATATGGATCAATTTCCCCAAGGCCATGTAGCTGGGAAATTAAAGCCTCTTCTGTCTCTGCTTTGTTTTTCTTTCCCTGGAAAAACAGCCCTCTGCCCAGAGAGAACTGCCCCTGGCCAACCCTATGAAGCCATAGGTCACAGTAATTCTAATATAGAAGGGGCAGACCTCAGACCAAGGACCTGGAAAGGATGGTTAGTCTCTGTGGTGGGGGCTGATGAGATGGCTCAGAGGTTGAGAGCGCTTGCTGCTCTTTCAGAAGACCAGTGTTTGGTTCCCAGAACCTGCATTCACACACACACACACTCCCCTTAAAAAAAAAGATCTAGACTCTGGTGGAATGCTGTCCTCAGAGAGTAACAGTCATTATTGTCTTAAACAGAGTGGCTGGGATTACCCACAAGACATGCTCAAGATCAGGCCTGTTCACATTCCCTCATAGGTGAAGGAATGGGAAGGGTCAGTAGATTCTCTCCAGCTACTCCCTTTGGTACTCTCTCCCAGCTGTGGGCAATGCTGCCCTAGATGCATGCTCTCAGATGCTAGTATACAGAGTATGGATGGTAACTAAAGGCAGCACTCCATACATGCAGCTGTGGGGAAGTCATTCACGCTAGGGGGGACCTTTTCAGTGATGCTTTTATTTTGGGGTCACCCATGCTCCTCACCAAGATAGGCTGGGTGGAACTGCTACTCTGGTCTGTCATTTGGTGCCCTATCTGGAGGGAGCAGACATTTGTTCCTATCTCCCCAAGAAAAGTTAAGACAATCCTTCCCAGAGGATAATTCGCAGTGTAGCCACAGGGAGCAGCCATCATCTCCCACTGTGGAGGAGCACTCCAGCAAGAGGAGAAGACTATACAAGCTGATAATCAAAGCCACTCCAGCTAGATGGGCAAAACATTAACACACACATATCACAAAGTGAGACAAGCAAATTCAACATCCTCTTGAAAAGCTGAGCAACAGTACTAGTCATCTGGGAAATGCTACTCAAACCGATAATGGCATTTCTCTAACAGCTATCAAAATGGCTTTAAAACCCACTAAACAACTGAAAACACCAATCACTTTATAGCACAAAGATTGAACCATAATACACGAAATTTTAAAAATAATGTAAGAACTCAAGGGATGTGAAAAGAATGACTTGATCTCCACAGTCTTCCTTCCAAAAGCCAAAGCAGAAAGCATGCTCAGATTTCCTCAGTTTTGGCATAAAGTCCTTTTCTTCTTTCAGAATCTCATCTAGGATACAGTGTATTTAGTTGTTGTGATGGCTAATCTTGACTGTCAACTCGATTGGCTTGAGATGACTGGGAGTGGCTGGCATGTGGACAGAGTATACTCTCTATATGTAGCACCTGATGCAGTAAACACTCAATGTGGAATGCATCCTCCAACAGGCTGTGGGCACAGATGGAATAAGAGGGAAGACACACTTGCCCCAATACAAGCTCTCTCTTTTGCTCTCTCCCTTATCTTACACATACACATGCACAGACGCACGCTCCTGACACTCTGTCTCTTCCTGCCATAAAGAAGTAAACAACCTCCATCACATACTGCTGCCATTGTGATGTTCTGCCTCATCTCAGACCCAAAGCAATGGAGCCACTAAAACTTGGACTGAAACCTCTGAAACCAGGGACCAAAATAAATCCTCCCTCCTTTGAACTGTTGCTTTCAGATATTTACCAATGATGAAAAGTTAAAACCATTTCCATGCCCCCAAGTCTTCTCTTAGCTTGTGACAGTTTCTCAGACTTTCCTTGTTTTGGGTGGCCTTGAAAGTTTTGTGGAGTGATGGTCAGGTATTTTGTAGGGTGTACCTCAGTTGGGGTTGACTGTTTTTACTCAGTAGATTAGCATTATGAATTTTGGGGAGGACTCCTGAGGCAAATGCCCTCCTTTTTGACCTCTATATCACCTTCCTGAGGAGTGCCTGTCAGTGTTCTTCACTGAAGAAACTCTTTGCTTATACTGTTCTCTTTGGAAGGGCATCACTATGCACAATCCACATTTAAGGAGCAGGGAAGTTAGGTATTGTGCAACATGCTGCAATCCCAGTATTTGGAAGGTGGAGCCAGGAGGATCAGGAGTTCAAGGCCAGTCTCATCTATACAGGGAGTTGTGGCCAGCCTGGGTTACATAAGACCCTGTCTTAAAACAACCAAACAAAAAAAGAAAGAATAGGGAATAGGGAATTCCATGTTAATTCTAATATAAATTATTTAGAATTTTTTTTGCCCAGAGATTTATCTGTTGTCCCCCATGTATTTACTTAGTTGGTTACTAAATGAATTCAGGATAGACTTATGGGTATTTATTTTCTACTTTGCATGTACAAATAAATGCATATAATTCAGTACTCCTTAATTTTCTTGCAAAAATGTTCCCGCACTGAACACTGGAAAGTCTTTTAATTGGCCCCTATGCCTTTTTTATGTGTATGTATGTGTTCCTGGCTGAGTTTATGTATACCGTGTGTGTGCAGGTGCCTGAGGAAGCCAGAAGGCATCAGATCTATTGGAGCTGGAGTTATAGGCAATTGTGAGCTGTCTGATATGGGTGCTAGGAACCAAACTCCAGTCCTCTGCAAGATCAGTAAGTGCTCTTAACTTCTGACCCATCTCTCTAGCACACACAACCCCTCCACATGTCTTTTTGACATATATTTATTTCAAACTTTAAAAATATTTGTCTTCTCTTCCCAACCAGAGTGGGATCTTCTCAAGGACACAGAGCCTCATTTTCTCAGCACATACCACAGACCAGCAAAAGCAGAGCTGAACAAAGGAATAAGGGAGGAAGGGGGTGTGGTTCTCTGGTGTGAGTGGGTGGTAGCTGGTGTGTGCTGCCCAGTGCCCAGGCCTTCTACTTTCTCTCCTGAAGTCATCACTTCTGCTTGGCCAGGTGATGTCAGCAACAAAGCACTTGCCCTTGGGAACAGGGTTTGGTAATAGACTCCATATCTTCCACTAGATTTGTGCTGAAGTTCTGACAGGCTTTTGGAAGACCAAGATGAAGCTGATCCAGAGAGAACAGAACTGAGAGATGGATTCCTGAGGGCCTAGCCATGTAGTTTATATGGCATTTCTGCCCCCCCCCCAGGCTATGAGTTATGTGAGCTAAAACTTCCTCTTTTTTTGAGACAGGGTCTCCCTGTAGTCCTAGCTAGCCTGGAACTCGCTATGTAGACCACCAGGCTGGCCCTTAAGCTCACAGAGATCTGCCTGCCTCTGTGTGCTGGTTTGGGTTGGGTTTTCCATTCCTTATAAGTAAAACAGTTCTTAACACTCCAGTATTGCTGGTCTACATTTTCATCATACCTAGTCAGTGGAGGTAAGGTAACTGAGCAGCCAGTGCTCTTAATGACTGAGTTCTTTCTCCAGTCCCAATGCTTTGATTCTTGAGACCTTACTCTGTTCTGCTGACCCCACCACCCCAGACTAATGAAGGGCATTAAGGGAACCCCCTTTCAGCCTATCACAAACATCTATTTTGTATAAACAGTTCCACTGAACTCTACTACTCAAGAAACATCCACAAAACAAGACTACCTTGTTGGGACCCAGGAATCATGAATTATATGATAAAACTATATTACATGGTTAATGATGGTAAAATATTTGCATGAAGAAGGTCCCACTGAGAGTGGGGCATGTTGGTACACATCCTTAATCCTAGCACTCAATCCCAGTAGTCAGGAGGCAGAGGTAGGTGGATCTCTGAGTTCGAGGCCAGACTGATCTACATAGCAAATTCCAGGCCTGTCAAGGGCTGCATGGGGAGACCCTATCTCCAAAAAATAAGAAGGTCCCATTGTAAATCAATGGTCAAGCTGGAACACGGAGACACAAACTGGTTTCTGACAGAACTGGTTTATGCCAGTATCAAACCATGCTTCTCTGACCTTCATAGACAGCCCTATTAATAAGCATCAGTGTCTATTTCCCACTGACATCATGTGTAGTTGTAACACCTCTCTTACCAGAATATCCTACCTATTTCAGCAAAAGAAGAGTCAAATTTATAACCAGTTACCTGGCTGCTACATTAACCAGAAAGGAAATGGACAAGAAGATGATATTGCTATCAACTCTGTCCTGAGCGTTGTTCTTCCTTAAGAAACTCAAAAAGCCAGAGACCAACCTATGGGGCCAAAGTATAACACATGCTAGACAGGCATGATGACTCTTACATGGTAGGTAAGATGTTCAGAGATGAGCTGGTCAAGCTTATATGAATTCCAAATAGTAAGTGCAGAGTCACAGTGAGTCAGGTCCCAAGCCTAAGTCCTCAAATAGAGAGACTTTTTTTTTCCCTCATTTATATTAGTGCTCAGCCATAGTCAGTCAACTGAGAATAATACAATATAGAAAAAGCATTAAGCTAGGATTGGGGGACCAAAGATTTCTAATCCAGTGTTGATTGACATAAACTAAGTAGTGGAGGGACATAATTACCCTGGACCCTAACCTTCTTTCCTATTTAAAAAAATGAAACCTGTATTTTTTACCACCTGACTGAATCATGAAGCTAAAACTGCATAACTGATCTGAAAAAATTAGGACTACTCTGTAAGCATTAAGTAGTGTTACTGCTAACACTAGGGATGCTCAGCCTTGTCTGGGAAGGGATGACCCCTGAGCACAGACAAGCATGCCAGGACTACCACATTTAAAGCATTTTGAGTTGGGTTGGGTTGCAACTACAAAGGCTTGGGCAAGGGAGGTGGCCTGGTACATGGCAGTCCCGATGTCATGGGTGGCCACAGCTCAGCTGTTCTCATGACTACCTAGGGGCAGGGAGGAGAAGGCCTGTTAACTGGTACCTGCATATATGTGTGAATAGCCCGTGTCTGAACCCAGGTTCACTGGTTGCTGCTAGAAAGACTGTAAATCCCAGTTTTTCTAGGACATTCACACTTTGGCATCATTTAGTGTTTTCTTTGAATAACGGTTACTCATTAAATAATGTGTAACTAAATGCTTCTCATGCCTTTGTAAAGTGGGTGAGTAGGCAAATTCACAAATTCAAAGCTGACCACTCTTGCTGTCACTTGCAGAGCCTGCCTCAACCAATCAGCTCTCCACCTGGGCTCTCCTCAGGGACAAGCCGAGTACCTACCCACTCCGGCTGCTCGCTGGGCTCTCCTTGTTTGTGGTCAGAGTCCACAGGCGGGGGCAAGTAATCCTTCACAGGAGTGGAGAATTCCACAGGTCCCGTTCCAGGCAAGGGGAGCTTCAGCAGCGGGTAGCTGGGGCAAATAAGAGTGAGGACATCTGAGAGGTAGAGATTGCTGTGAGGTGTTGGTAACAGAGGAGCCACTGAAACTTCAACTACATTCCCTGTACAAATATATCACACCCTTAAATTTCAGAGCTGAAATTCAGAAGTCATCTGAATCAACTAAGGAAGCGCAACTGTAAAACATGCTGGTTCAATGTTCTAAGACTTGACATGCTAAAATCAAACAAACCTTCTTGTCAAATTAGAAAGAGGATTTTAAAAAAAAAATTGTGGGGGATAAGAAACCAGTGGGATCCCGGGCGTGGTAGAATTGCCTTTAATCCCAGCCCTCCGGAGGCAGAGGCAGGGGCAGAGGCAGGTGGATCTCTGTGAGATCGAGGTCACCCTGGTTCATATGGTGACTTCCAAGTGGGCTGTGACGAGACCCTGTCAAAAAACAATCAACAAAAAGATTTAAAAAAAAAAAAAAAGAGCCCAGCGTGGTGGTATATGCCTTTAATCCCAGCACTCGGGAGGCAGAGGAAGGCCGATCTCTGTGAGTTCAAGGCCAGCCTGGTCTACATAGTGAGTTCCAGGACAGAGGGGCCTATAAGGAGACCCTGTCTCAAAAAGACCAAAAAAAGAAAGAAAGAAAAAAGAAACCCCTGATTCAGATGGCTGAGCAACTGCTTTATTTAAAGGGACAGATCATGAAATTTGCGAATGACCGATCAAGGGTGGTGGATATACTAGTCTATATCAAAGAGAAGTTAATAGAACCAACATATGCAGAGAAAAAACTGGCCTTGCATTAGCAAGTTGGGAAACTGGTGTACATTTTGTTTCAGGTCTCACTTTTTAAAAAGATTTTATTTATGCATATATTTTTGTGTGTGTATAAGCATTTTGTCTGTATTTATGTAAGTGCACCATGTGTATGGAGTACCCACAGAAGCCAGAAAAGGAAGTCAGAGTCCCTGAAACTGGAGTTATAGACAACTGATTATCAGCTGCCATGTGGGTGCTGAAAACCAAACCCTGGTCCTCTGCAAGAATGGAAGCATTCAACTTGCTGAGCCATCTCTCCAGCCCCTCAGGTCTCATTAAAAAAAAAAAAAAAAAAAAAAAAAAAAAAAAAAAAAATTTTTTTAGGCTGAGGCAGAAGGGAGGCAAATTTGAGACCTTCCTGGGCTACATACTGAGATCCTATCCCCCAAATAAGCAGGCAAAACAGGAAGTAAATTATAAATAGTACAATTCACAAACCTTAAATAGTTTTCATATATGCATAAGCCTAAGCAACTAACCACTACTAGATCAAACTACAGAACATTTCCAGAACCTCAGAAGTTAGTCCTGAGGACAATACCAGTCAATATACACCCTGGGGCCTCCAAAGGTAGCCACTATTAAAATCCTTCCCACTACAAATTCATTTTGCTTTTTTTTTTTTTGGTTTCTTTTTGGTGCTAGGCCTCACTGCTAACACGCTCTACCACTGAGTTACACCCCAACCCCAGTTGCCCATTTTATTTAACATTCATTCATTCATTCATTCATTGTGTAGCTCAAGAGCACATGTGGAGGTCAGAGGACAACTTGAAGAAATTGATCTTTCCTTCTACCACAAAAGGTCATCAGGCTTGGTGGCAAGTGCTTGTACCTGTTGGCTGAGCCATCTCACTGGCCTAGTTTTGCCTATTTTTAAAATGTTTTAAAATACCTTTTTAAAAAATTTTTTAATGTTTTTATTTTTTTTAATATTTTATTTATTATTTTTATGTGTATGAGTGTATTGCCTACATGTATGTGAGTGCACCTGTGTCATGCAATGCCGAGGAGGTCAGAAGAGGGCTTCGAATTCCCCTGGAACTGGAGTTAAGGATGGTTCACAGCTGCCATGTGGGTGCTGGGAATCGAATCCAGGTCTTCTGCAAGAGCAGTCAGAGCTCTTAACCTCTGAGCCATCTCTCCAGCCCCTATTTTTTTTAATTTTATGTGTATGCGTGTATTGCCTGCATGTAGGTAAGTGCACCCATGTTGTGCAATGCCCGCGGAGGTCAGAAGAGGCTGTCAGGTTCCCTGAGACTGGAGTTACAGACAGTTGTTAGCTGCCATGTGGGTGCTGGGATTCAAACCTGGGTTTTCTGCAAGAACAGCCAGTGTTCTTAGCCACTGAACCATCTCTCCAGCCCCAAGTTTTGCCTGTTTTTGAATGCCATATAAATTAAATGATCCATCCTACATAGGTACTCTTTTGTGAGTGGCTGCTTTCATTCAATACATATCTGCTATATTCATCCACATTGGCCCATGTGGCATCATTTCATTTTCACAGAAACATACGAGGGCTGGGGATATAGCTCAGTGGTAGAGTGCTTGCCTAGTGTGTCTAAAAGCCTATGTTCAATCCTTAGCACCACAAAAAGAAACCCTGACATCACAGGTGTATCCTATTCCACTGAATAAATGTAGTACAGGATATTTGTCTACTGTCAAGGAACACTTGGCAGTTTCTAGTTGGCGCTATTAAGAATATAGTTATGGAGCTGGAGAGATGGCTCAGTGGTTAAGTATACTGACTGTTCTTGCAGAAGACCCTGGTTTGAATCCCAGCACCCACATGGCAGCTAACAACCGCTTGTAACTCCAGTTCTGGGGGAATCCAACACCTTCTCCTGACCTCTGAGGGCATTGCATGACATAGATGCACTTATACACATGCAGTCAATACACTCATACACATAAAATAAAAATTTTAAAAAAAAGAGTCCATGTTTATAGCTAAAGGCTACATAACAAGAAACAATGCCAGACAGGAGATACCTTCCTTTGGGTTGTTGGCCAGGGTGGCCCAAGAGACTCCCAGACAGTAACCCAGGACAGAACTGGGAAAATGAACAGCAGACCCCAATCTTATCTAAAGAAATGTTGGCAACTGATTGCTGCTAGATGAGGAAGAGCTGATCTTCCTAAAACAAGGGGCTCTAGATAGGCTGACTAGACTCAGCGGATAGACTTGCACTGGGGGACGACTGGGGGCCCTGACAACACAGTGGACAGTAACAGGGATGACAGAGAATATGGGCTCCAGTTGGGGGAGGGAGGTGGCTATGGGAGGGTACCATTTGGGATGCAGGTATAAAGATGAATAAGATTGTTTGGGATGTTCTGTATGAAATACACAAAAAATAAAAAAATAAGAAAT